AAAAACCCTACAAAAATGAAGAAAATTTCTATGTAAAATATTTCAACATTGTACCTTGCACAATCTAGATGATTCATTATTATTATTATTATTATTACGAGGGGTAAACTTATCGCTTAACTTTTTTCGAATCAATTACTCTCGACTATTCTCTACGTATAGTTGTTACGTTATTAAGAAGTAAAATAAAACGTATAGTAAAGAAAATAGAAAAAGAGGAAAGAAAAAGTAGAAATATAATGAGAAAAAGGTTTTCTTGTCAACGTCCCACGCATTTCTTTCTATTCTTTACCTCTACGGGTAATGTACGTTAGTTTGCACTATGACAACGACGTACGACTACAAGAAGAAGAAGAAGAAGAAACGAGTTTCCCTTCTGTTCATGCCGACACATGTAAACGTGTGAACGAAAGGAAAGAAAAAAAGAAAGGGGAAAAAAATGAGAAGAAGAAAAAATACGAAGGAGTAGAAGAAGAAGAAGAAACACGTCATCGAGGATCATCCTGCTTGGGGGGGGAGGGGAGGGGTTGGAGGGAGGGTTACGAGTATTCGCATGACAGCAAGGAGAAAACTACGACACGATGATCACGAAGATGATGATGGTGATGGGTTACCGACTAGCAAGAGAATTGTACTCGAGTTCTCTCTACACGAGAAAGAATAAGACGAACCATCTACGAAAGTATAAGAAGAAGAAGAAGAAGAAGAAGACATTGTTCTTGCTAATGCCCTTTCATGCTATCTTTCGTTCTGACTCTTAATACCAACCTACAACTAGCTAACTTTTTTCTATTATTACGATTTATTCGACTCACGATCCTTTCTTTTTGATTTTTCTTCTTTCTATTTTCTTTATCTTAATTAATTAATCATAGAGATATTGTTAAACTATTCTAAAAAAAAAAATAGATAAGAACGGATAAACATTCGTAAATAAATCGCGTTTGAATTGATAAATTGTAAACGACAAATTATAAATATTTGTATAACAATATGAGTCGTAGAAAATAGTGTTAGATTTATTAGATTAGAAATGATACATATTTTTTGTATAAATATTAAATTAAATATCTATCGTCATTCTCCTTTTATTTTATTTTATACAAATTATTTAGAACGAGATGCATACTGATAGAAAATCGTGACGTAGTCGTCAGAGGAAGAAAGGAATAGGGTTAAAAATGTGATCTACGAAATGGTTGTGACATGAAAGAGAAGAAGGAATGCAAACATCTCACGATGAAGAGAAAGAGAGAAAGAGAGAGATAGACAAAGACAGGGAGTTAGGTTGTATTCGAGCATTGCTTATGTATCCACGTGGGTGGTTGGTTAAAGTGGGTGGTTCCAGCATCGTTGCATCGTTGCATCGTTGGCTAGCTCTGATCGGTGAAGAAACGAAGTACCGGCTCGAGTGCCTACTGTGCACTGAGAGCTCGTAACCTTTCGTTTACCTTTTCTTTCGACCTTCGAACAGACGACTACGACGACGACGGGGTTAATACCCTAGAGATCTTGAAAGCAACGATCTTATATCAATCTTTTAACCAACATTCTGTCATAATTTTATCGATCCTAATTGGATAATCTTAACACGAATTTTGATCTTTATAATTAATTTATTGTAATGCAAAATCAACGCTTTTGTTTTTTATTTATATATATATAATAATAATATAATTTTGTATATACGCAAGAATAAAAGTTGATTTCTGATTACCTTAGAAAATGATAAGTCACAAGATAAGGTATATATTGAATTTCGAATTAATATGTTATATAAAGTGTGCTGGAACGAGAAAAGGGGTGAATAAAATAGAATATTTTATCTATACGCGATATCTAAATTGGTTTGTGTATTTTTTTTTTTTTTTTGTGCTTTTTTATTTATCTTTTACGTAGAGAATTATTTCAGCTCGCGACAGGTATTAAGATGAATATTTGATACGTTAAATTACAGTGACTTAATCTTCAGGATATTCCTTCAAGGACGGACGATGTCTCGTGGTAGTTACATTAATGGCAACGTTAATTCGATTTACGAGTTAGCTACGATCCTTTCTTTCTTACTTTCTCGAAAGGATTTATTGATATGACAAGAAGAAAAGCGGTCCTGTTGGATTTATAATGCCTATCTCTGTCAACGTTAATAACCGATGGATTATCACTTCGTACACGACGATTGCGCAAGTGCATAATGCCAACCATGGCAAGTTTCACATGGAAGGGGCTTTTTTTTTTTTTTTTTTATTTTTTTTTATCTCTTTTATCTTGCACCGCTTGTGTCACGCGTATTCTGGATTATCGCAAATTGTGTACTCCTTTAAAGTGACGCCAATTCGTTCAACCGTCGTACATATGCAAAATATTATTTCCATTTTCAACGGTCTAAACTTGACTACTATTAAAACGAGAATTATCTACCGGAAAATAGAACATAAAAAATGTTTCGTGGCAAGCGGAATATTATTATTGGATTTGGCTAAAATATATATTATTCTGTTCTTTTGTTTTTTTAGTAAAGAAAAATATATATCCAACATTTTCTTAATTGTAAATTTCAATCTTGTATGCGTATAAAAATCATACAACTTTTTGAAGAATAAAATAATGTACTTTTTTCTTTTTTTTTTTTTAATAATTAAACATAGGATTATTATAGTATATTTGTATCAGTGTATGTCTATAAACTGAACACTTTAACCAATCTAATAATAAGTACCTTTTTATATATTTTTAAATGAAAAATAATAAATCAAATGCAATTTAGATTGGAAACAGTGATTATTGCGTATACGTCAGTGTATGACTATAAAAGTAAATCAATATCACTTATGATTAATCTCGTGAAGTTATTGAAGACAATGATATCGATGATGATGATGATGATGATGATGATGATGAAGAGAAAGAAGAAGAAGAATAAAAAGAAGCCATGAGAGAAAATATCGATCTCATTTTATAGGATTGTTTACTATGTCGTAACGTGTTAATGAACCGATGCTGAAATACCAAGGAAGGAATTTGTTCGAACGATATAAACTATCCAACAGAACGTTGATGTTGATAAGAGTTAAAATGAAAGGAAAGATAAAATCGATATATATATATAATGCGATTAAAGGAAAGAATCGCTTCAATAGATCAATCGTGTGTACTCCAAGGACGATGTAACTACGCTTCGTTAAATCCAATCTGAACGATTCGATCGAGGGTGGCTTCTACTTTA